AAGCTTGGGCCACCTCCTCAGCAGGTCCTATGCTACCCACGAAAACGACTCATATGTGACCATTTTCCGAGGATTTTTCAGAGAAATGCCTTGCCCTTGGAGTTTCCGGAACTTTGCGAGTTACAAGTTGAGATCATTCTGATCGTATGAAACTTACTATTGGACTCATTTCGTGAGTATCTGGTCCACGAAAGTGTAAATTCAAAATGAGCACAGTAAAAACCACAGAAGCCGAGATCACCAGCATACAGCACGAAAAGAATACACCTGGAATTCAGGAGAGTCACTAAACAGTCATTAAACAGTCGAATAATTCCGAAGCAAAGACAACTGGAAAGTTGACAGGGATCAAGAAGCGAAAAGTCAGTACCGAGCCCGGCCCCGTTTCAAAATTTTTAGCGCAAACCTTGAGGGAATTGAACAGTTCAGAAAGGCTTGAATCTTGGAAACCACTTAGGGCCGTCGCTGACCTCGGAGAGACGCAGTAATTTTGTCAACCCCGCGAGCTCATGGGCCGCCCCAGTGCCCTATTCTTTTTCGCACTATACTACTATAACCATATATGCGCAGACTTTATATTCCGGAAATGGGGAGGGCGTGGCTGCGTGCTCCATTCCAACGCGGAGGAGGCTGCGCTTTTGATTTGTTGTTGCCGCTTCGGTACAACTGTAACCATGTCTTGGTGAAGCACAAGGCAGGGCAAAACCCGTCTTAAATAGAAGTATTACGGAAAATCCTACTCCACGTTGGAATGAAGTACGCAGCCACGCCCTCCACATTTCCGGGGTATGGAGTTTAATTGACTTGGAAACATGATAAAAAAATATTCGAAATCAAGGGGATATAGCGCTTACCAATTAGCGGCACCGCATCCGATGTAGGAGGTGTCATTTCGGAGACCATACTCAGGAAGAATACAATTGCCAGCAGGATTGTCATTTCTGAATTACAATAAATTAGTCTGCTCATGAGTTGGTCATCCAGGGCTGACAGCTAGTTAGCTAACTAGCCCCTGGACCAGTCAGAGCTGACTGGAACCGGCAACGATTGCCAGTCACCGTTTAGGAAGGGATCGTTTTGTTCCAGGAAACATTTGAAGCAGGCGCTGTTCGACTCAGGGAGTGGGGGGGGGCGACGGCAGCATTTTGCGCTTTCTCTTGTTTTCTTTGCTAGAATTTCGAAACTCGTATGAGTGAGACCATCTTCATGTATCTTATTGTAAAACTAATATATGGCGCGTTCCAGAAAAAATGAGCGGCGCCGAGGTTGGGCGCTGCGTTTATGCAGCGATGTGACACCCCACAAGGCTACGCATTGTTGTGGACGTATGACTGCAACGGGGGGGGTCGTACTTGAGCGGCGAGGGTAGGCGGAGGGGGGATGGGCGGGTCGTATTCGGTCGTTCGTTGGGAAGGGATCGCCAAGATTATACAGCTACTATTTGCGTATGGCTCGAAAAGATAGTTAAGATCCTGAACGACCTCCTCCCCAAGACTCAAATTTTTGAGAAACCATAGAAATTTTTTCGGGAAACTTCGGAAAAACTGGGGAAGATCTGAGTAATTTCCCTGTTTCAAGTTGGGTATATTCCCCCACCCCACCATCCGCCCCCTCCCCCCGCTCGACGGAAAATTCTTGGCTGAAAAACTGGAAATTTTCTGGAAAAAATGGAAAAAGTGGTAGGAACTTGGGAAAATCTAGGAAGTGGTAGGTAAGCGATGGATGGTCGCTATTTAAGGAAGGAATAAGGAAGGGGTCGTATTGTTTCAGGAAGTGATCACAACGCGATAGCGTGCGCCTGCCGCCCTGAGCGCGCTGATGGTCCTACCTGCCACTTATCGTCATCTGACGGGGCTGGCGTCGTGACTGATCCACTTTCCAGTAATACACAGAATCAATTAAACGTAACCAAGTGTGCTGTCTTTTCTCCTGCATCGGGTGGTAGCGAAAATCCGAGCACGGTCATCAAACAGATCAGAAGTGATGGAATGATAAGATTAAAACCTGAAAAGAGTAAAAGATAGTCATCGATTACAGTGCAAAAAGTTATTTGGCCACTGCCGCGTGCGGTTGCAGCGCGGTTGGTTATCAATATAAAGCAGGCAGTGAGTCAGCATGACTATAAAGATAAGCGAAGAACATTATGTCTCCATTCTCATAGTTTTGTGCTTAGTGCATCATGATCACTTCCTTTGATGTGGTTTTATGGTTAGTGTAGATACATGCGCAGTGTGCCGAGGCGGAGTATTGTTGATGAGTTGTAGCCAGCCATGCCGTGCTGATGCTTTTCGAGAAGTTGTGAATTGGACCAATCGATATTGGGCTCCGCATTTGGGGTAATAATCGGTTTTGTTGTGGGAATATTTCATTTATTTGCATTTCTCGCATTTCAAAGTAAATGTGTGCGCACCGACCCGATCTACAGTAATCAGACGCAATTTCGCATTAGCAAACTACAGGAGGATTTTGTCATACCTCGAAGGTGTTGATTGGTATGGGTCTTTGAATAGCGTTCAGTCGGTAGATTCTAAGTATGAGCTATTCTTAGCAATTCTCCATCATGCCATCGATCTTTTCGTGCCGGCTACTGCGAAGAGAACTGCAGGGAGTCGTTCCTGGACCACATTTATACCGTACGAAGGTTGATGCACAAGAGGGAACATGTTTGGAAGAGAGCGAAACTTTCTGATACCATAGAGGATTGGGAATCCTTCAAGCATTAATAAGTCTTTTGAGTCCAAACTACGTAAATATAATGCATCTATTGAGAATTGTATCATCAGGCTGCAAGAGTGGTTTTTACAAGTTACTTAAGTTCCGCTTGAAGCGTAAGCCAAAATTACAAGCTCTGCGTGCACCCAACGGGGAGCTTATAATCGACGACACAGAGCGAGCCGAAGTGTTGGCCTCCGCGTTTGAGACCCATTTTGGAGAGAGTAGTGCATACGTTAACCTACAGTGGCTAGAGAGGCAAATTCCGCCGAAATGGAAGATTCCGCCTGGTTTCGGAAGGGATGATATTTTAGAGACTCTGCTTAAGTGGCCTCGTTCAGAATCTGTTACTCCAGACTTCATTCCCTTATCGTTCATAAAAAAGGTTGCTCATCTCATAAGCAGTCCACTGGAGTATATTTTCAATCTAAGCTTCATGAATTCTGAAGTGCCTTCTAGGTGGATCCAGTCTCTTATAACACCCATACCGAAAAAACCACCATACACGGAGGCTATGAATTTCAGACCCGATCAGTATAACATCGGTATTCGCCCGGCTGTTCGAGAAAATCTTGAAAAAACAAATCGAGGTCCACCTCCACAAATATTCGGTCATCTCTCCCTGTCAGCATGGGTTTCAGAGGGGAGGTCAACGGTAACGGCAATGGTGCAGGCGCTCAATGACTGGACAAAGTACCTAGATGAAGGCAAGAATGTCGATGTGATTTATCTCGATTTTTGTAAAGCCTTTGATAAAGTACCGCACGCCAAGTTGCTTCATAAAATGCGAAGGGTTGGGATCCATCCCACAAAAAATATTTGGCTTGGCTTACATGTTCCTTCGAAAGAAAGTTTGCTTGTGCGGGTCAACTCGTCTTTTTAAGCGCCAAGGACGCGCGTCGCACTGTTGCCTCCGGTGGCGTGTTATCTCCGACCCTTTTCAATATTTATACGTACGACTTGCTCAGTCTCCTCTCTTCCATCCATGTGAAGTTTTGCGCATTTGCTGATGATCTCAAACTTTACTTGCCAATAAGTGGACCTGAAGACGCATTCACACTACAGAATGCGATTGATACAGTACTTGAATGGTCACAGCAATGGGATCTGCCACTTTCTGACGTTAAATCGAGGGTACTCCACTTAGGGTCTAGCAACGCCAGGCACTCCTATACAATGAACGGCAACAGTTCTTAGCATTTGATCGGCACCATGAAGTGCATGAACTTGGGATTTCTGGTTGTCAGATAGTTTAGGAATTGTGAATGGCGCATTGCTCAATGATAGCCAACAAAGCCACTGCATTAACACACAACTTGTTCAGAGCTCTCTCGACCAGAAACGTGTCGGTGCTTCTTCTTGCCTACAAAACTTTCGTAAGACCTATTGTTGAATATGGGACCCCTGTGTTTAGCCCTTATAAGCTTAAAGTGATAAATATGTTGGAGAGGGTTCAAAACAACTTCACAAGGAAACTTATGATACGCGTTCTTGTTGGCGTTCTTCTTACGATCAAATTCCCTGTAGTATAGCTTAGGCAATAGAAATTTTGGCTAAGCACTTTGCACAAAGGTAGAAAGCGAAAATGATTCATTTTACTTCTTACTCCAAACTCATGCGCGGCGAAAGTTTCAAGTTGGAAAGCCTCGTTCCGCTGAGACCCTCTGTTACCCGAGGTAGTGCTAATAAATATTATCTGGGTAAAGCAAAACTAAACTGTAGGCGCAAATTTTTCACCTTTAGAGCGATTCCTCTTTACGAAAAGCTAAGTAAGAAAGGGCCAATACCATCTAATTGCAAAACGTTCAAGAGACTATTAGACAAACTTTTGAGTCCATGAAGCCACATATCGTTTCCCATTCTGGTTAACGAGTCCATAGGGCCTTGTAGTGTTCTCCTATGTTGCTCCTTGCTCGTTGCACGCGTATACTGTTATCCTACGTCATCTGTTGATTTTTTTTTCTCAATGATCTCTAATTGTGATTGTGTTGAGCTTTTTGAAGTTTTATTTTGTTCCTTGTCGTTTTACATGCCTAAACTCACAAGATATTTGTGTAATATAATATATATGATAACATGTATAGTTGTTGTGGGAAAATTGTTTTAGACGCGCTCCACGCCCAACTAATCACTCTACGAGTGCTGTGCGATCGGAAGAGGGCAGCGCGAACACTTCACATTATGTCTGGCCCCCCCCCTCCTGTTTGCACCCCCTTGCCAAGACAGTGTGAAGTGAGATCCGTGATTGGGATTTGTAAGAACTCGAGAAGATGTTGCATGAAATAAACACAGCTTGAAAACGCGAAATGGTTGGGCACAGTCGCGGCCGTGCCGTGGAAAACTACGGTAAGTCGGCCGAGGAATCCTCAATAACCCATTTTCGTCAATATGGTAGGATCGATTGAAGACAATTACCGTAATATAGAGTCCGTCGTCGCAAGTGGAGGAAATACTTCACTGTAGGATATGGTTCAGGACAGCATTTGTAGTATTTCACTTCGCGTAAAGCTGGTGGTCGAAGCTCACCCAAATCCCATCAATTTAACCGGACATACGTGTGAGAGATCCATATAGTTGACCTGCAAAATGGCCGTAGCTTGCCGACACGAAACATGGGCGAGGCAGGGGTGGTGCGAAACTTACTTCCGTTTTTGTATTTTCGTCTGCAATCTGTAGGTCGACACTGGCGGTCTCTGAAGACGTCCACGAACCGGAATGACTTCTCGCGTGACCCGTCGAACTGGAAACCGGACGCGGGAATATTCAGAAGAAGCGAGTAAATTGAAAGGCAATGGATTCGCGGGGGGGGGGTGGTAAGGAAAGGTTGAATGCGACAAAAGAGGCGAGACAGACGAGAGGTTGTCTTGCTGTTTTCGGGAATGCATTGCCGAATCTCCTGACCCACGCCCAAAAAAGTTCACAAACCACGTGACATCCAGTTTACAGACGAATTTTAGCACACCAGGTGGAATCCAATTGACGTCACCAGATGCGTATACCAGTAAATTACTCTTATAAGTTGAATCGAAATCTTCAGCTGCACTGAAATAAATAAGTCAAACAATCATAAGTAATTGAAGATTCATGTGCGTGAAGACACCTTCTACGGGTACACGGTTAACAGATGAGCGACTGCGCACAGATAATAGCGCCCCTCCTAGGCCGCCCCGTAATTTCGTCCCACACCCTGAAAGGTGGCAAATCACTATGGCGGTGACGCCAAATTACAGGCTGGCAACATCTACAGTTGGTATCGTAGCAATCAGTCGAGGCTGGTTTCAAAAGAAGGGAGTGAGCCCACCTGCAGCGCTTTTACTCCTGGTTCTTTTCTTCCTATATCTACCACAACCGATCACTACTGGCAAAGTAGAATGGCCATAGACGGACTCAACCGCCCTCCCAATACCCCTCCCCCTCATCCCCGACTGACCACGACGTCATCAGTTATACTATCAAAAACAGTGAAATTGCTGCATCGCACCTTAGAGGGGCTCCCACACTTGCGGGCGGAGCTATCCACAGTGGGCGGAGTCATACGCAAGAGCAGAGCACAAGCAGCACAAATATGTAAATGAAAATAAAATTCAAATATGAAAACTTGAACATCCATGAGTGACTCTATTATAAAAGACCTCAGAATTCAAAAAACAAACAAAAGAAAAGACAACTAAAAATGACGTAATGTGTCATTAAATTCGAATTTTGGTGATTGCACTACCTGTTGTACAGGAGAATGTCTGGCTTCCAAATATGATCAGCAGTGCCAGGAAATCGAACATTTTCAATGCCGTCGTACTTAGCAGGGTCCCATGTGAGTTTGTAGTCCTGCCAGCTCTGAAGGGAGCATTGATGGTAATGATGGACAATACGAGAACAGAAAAAAACCCTCACATAACTGAGCCAGGCATTCACTGAGATCAGCTGATTCTTCTCGTCAACGTCTAGGATCTGCTGGAGGAACATTTTAATCTTCACAACAAGTGGTTGAGTAGCGTTTTCCACTGGTCGCTCCAGGGGGTTATAACCTAAATTGAGCCGAATTTCGTCTTTTTCACTAAAGTCAGTCGGGACATTTCAACGGAGCATAGGTTTGGCGCAGTGCCAGCCCTTTTTCCACTGATCGTTGCGGCTTCGGGAGCTCAAGGAAGTCGTGAGAAAGAGGTTGGGGCTGCGCGCCGAAACCATCGCAACGCTGACAC